CAGCAGCGACAGAGTGAGACTCCAACTCAAAAAAATAAAAATAAAAATAAAAATAAATAAAAAAAACTACTTTTGAAGGTAAAGACCCTAATGAAGCAATGTTTGTAAAAAAAACAATTCTTTCTCCAACTTTGAGAGGCAAAATTCTAACTCCTTTATTTCATGCTGCAATTTCCTTGTAACACTTAAGCCCTATAAATGTGAGAAAATTTCACTTGCAAAAAAGAACTTAAATTTAAATCTTACTTAAAGCTCAAAAGAATAAACATTTGGAGGGATTTCCCTTGAACAACTTTAAAGTACGAAGAACCCAATAATCAAGTTGGAAAGTGAGCACTGCACCATTCCATTTTACTGAATAAAAGGGGCCATTTCAAATGTAGTATCTTCACCTACTGAATTTTTTAAAATCCTGCTTTTAAAATCAAGTGAGGAAACACAACTTTACTGCAACTCTAGCATAAATACTAGTATTAAGATTTCATTACACCACATCCTTATTTGTTAGGCATCCATCAGGAAACTGGCATAGGAGCTATTATTGATGAAACAAATTAATAGGGGCACAGATGAAATACAAAGCAGTTACCCAAGAGGAATGCTCCTTCATTTGGTGCTGGTTGCTGTGAGGGCCACTGGCATGGCCACGCCAAAAGCAATTCTGGCAGAGTTGGTAGTTGTGGCACTGCTGGCATCGGTACCGGAAACCCATCATACTCTCACACCGGCAATAGGAGCACTCCACAGGATGGAAGACTTGTACACAGAAGAGGAAAAGAGAGAAAAAAGGGCAGGGGAGAAGGGACAGAAGAAGAATTTATTAATTTTCATTTGGAGAACAAAGTCAATACATAGGAAAAATCAAATCTAATATAAAGCAAAAGTGAAGACAAAATTAGAACTGAAGAACACAAACTGTCTGTTAACTTAACCAGCCATTTACTAGAATAAAAGGAAAAGATTTAATAAATCAGAAAAAATTTCAACATCGACTACTATATTCCAATATACTCATCATTCCAGTATACTATCATGTGCAATATAAAGCTTTATATTATAGATTGTTATATCTACTTTTAAATGTTGGTAGCAGGATTGTTTCCTCTGGTAATTCAATTCTGAACACAAGAAATGGAAGTCAATAGGAAAGAGGATATAGTACTCAAATCTTCATTGAACAACTCTTTCTAGCATTATGTATATAAAGTCAATTTTATCTCAATTACAAGGCTCTTTGGTCCTGCTTCCAAAAATGTATACTAAAAAAAGTAAAATCAAGAATGAGAAATCCAAAAGACAATACCTCCTCTAAGAAATTAAAGTTTTTTTAACCTTAAATTCAACATTCCTAAGGAATGGTGAAAGTGCTAATTAAGAGTGTATGCACCCAATTAGTATAGTTCCTCCAGTGAAAAGGAGTTCCGAATCAATCTGGAGCTAACATCAATGAGGTCAACATCAGTGCAGTCAATATTTATAATCTAAGTAATTTGGGTTATTTTATTAAATGACATACGTATATTAATATTATCAGATATAGTCTGATAATTTTGGTTGAACATGTCTGTCTATATGATTTTTTCCTATTCTCTTTGAAGGCAGTCAAGAGCCAATGGTTTACTCGGTGGAATGGATGACAAGATGAAGATGCATAGAACCAGGAGGAGAATAGGACCTGCAAGTGTGCTGGGTCAATTATAAATAAGAAAGATAAGAATTGTTCAGGTCCTGGTGAAAGTATTATTTTGGTAAAGAACATCACGTAGTGGTTTCCTTCTTATTTACTACACACTTGGATTAGTAAAGCAGTATAAAAAGTTTAACCTCTGCTTAAGCAAATAAACATCTGTCCTTAATAACAGTAATTTCAATATAATTCAAGTGATGAATTTCACAGGAAGTAAAGAGGCCCCCCAAATTAAAAAATCCTAGAAATATCATAATTTTGTAATGTTTCTCACCATTAAAATTAAGACACACAAAAGTTAATGTTACAGAAAACATAATTTATTTCTAGATATTTCTTTTTTTTTTTTTTGAGTTGGAGTCTCGCTCTGTCACCCAGACTTGCTGGGCTCCAGCAATCCTTCCTCCTCAGCCTTCCTAGTAGCTGGAACTACAGGTGCGTGCTACCATGCCCGGCTAATTTTTGATTTATTGTAGAGATGAGGTCTCGCTGCCCAGGCGGGTCTCAAACCCGCGGGCTCAGGCAATCCACTCACCTCAGCTTCCCAAAGTGCAGGATTACAGGCTGAGCCACCGAGCCCAGCATTTCTAGATATTTCAATGATTTCATAACATTTCTGTTTCTGAGAAAAATAGTATCACTAACCACCACAGAAGAATGTAATCAATAAATAATATACTACATACAAAGTCATAACAAAATGTTCATATGGATAAACAATACATCTTGGCAAATGAGGCTCTTTCTATATGGTGCAGCAGGTAGGATATGAAACTACAAAAACACTTAATGCTATAAAAGTACTGCTCCTCAAAATTCAAATCTCTATTCAAAAATCCTGTTTTAAAAATTTAGCTGTTTCAGTCTAGTCAAGAGATTCTGGTCCTTTAAGAAACAAATCCTAAATCTGAGGTACTCATGAACTAAAGCCCTAGCTGGGGGAAAAAGTCAAGATTTTTTTTAAAAGTATGAATAGGAAAGGGAGAAAATAAAAATGGTATGGAAGTATATTTCATTCTTACAGGAGGAAAAAAGAGGACTCTGCTTTTCAGTGGCTTCTCAGTTATTTCTTGTTCTCTTTGTGGGATGAAGAAAGACATTGAGAAAAGGGAGACTGCTACACAAACTATGGCCTTCCCTTTAGTACATTAAAACAACCTAAACAGAGAGATATGCTGAGGGTAATAACAGAAGAAAATAACATGCTACCATGAGATAAGCACTATTTCAATTCAAAGCACAAAAAAGACTTATGCCAAATTAATTACTGAGAGTAAAGAAATGGAAGAGGTGTAAAATCCAGTACTGAATTATATCTTAACTACTTATCTTTAAATTATTCCAAAATAATTATAGTTTTAGTGGTTGATAGTGTATATATCCAATTTTTAGAACTAAGATTTTGACAAAGGGGAAAAAAGGAAGTTACAGCTAAATCAGGTAGGCTCAAGCAGAAAAAAACCATCTAGAATCTTAGAGAGGAAAGGCCTATAGTCTGAACCACAAAGTTTTATGACCTAATGTTACTACTCAGTACCCTTTCTAAGTAATGTCTCCTCCCACTTTAAAAAGAAATTAATATTCTCCTTTTGAAAGTCAAAACCACAAATTCAAATGATAGAGTGACAGTAAATGTCAAGTGTAATGTTTAATGATAGTAATAGCTGAGGACACTGCAAATAATCAGTTTCTATACTTCCTTAGTTTGAGAAATTGAGCAATAAAAGTTCTGCTTACCATTCTCAACGTGGGCAAGCCTGTGCATGAGAGGTAGCCAGACAAGGCACTGGGGAGGGGGGTCGGCCATCATTGTGTCTAAAAACATATTTAGCATTATCTTTTTCTGTAAAAAGAAGACAAACATATACTTTATATTTTTCAAGTATCTCTGAACTCCAAGATTAAGTAATTTAAGATTTTCCCATTCAAGTTTTAATGAATTACATGCAAAATTTTACAGCAAAATATTTTACATTACTACAGACACTACGACACACTGTACTATATACTACTACTATATTCAAATGCATTCCCCACATAATTTAATTTTAATCTTAAAACAACTATATAAGGTAAATAGGTGAGATATTACTATCTTTGTTTTACAGATGAGAAAATAAAGAAAAAAGCATTTAAAGGTTTTCTGGTAGCCCTACGCAAATCAGACATAGAGCCAGGACTGTGCTTCAAATTACTATTTCTGCTATCCAGTGGAGGAGACAGACATTCCACAACTGATTATACAACATCAATGAAAGCAGGAACTCTGGTTGTCTAGCTGTCTACCATATTTCTAGCATTCATAACAGTGCCTGGCACACAACAGGCACTTAAAAAGCAATCGCTGAAATAAATAATAAAGTAAAGGACAGACACTGTTAGTAACCATTTAAATTTCTCATTTACAGAAAAGAAAACAGAATTTGGGAGTACTTAAGGAATCTGACACAGTCACAGAGAAAGCTATGGTAAGGATGAATCAGAACATAAATATCTACATGCCCATCACAGTACTCCCTCCATGTGCCATCCCCTTAGCCAGACTGCATTTTTCTCTTCTATCTTTATTTCTCTCTTCTTTTTAAGAGCTAGTAAGCTTCTACTGTATGTGAAACACTGAAATAACATGTCCCATGTGGACACAGAAAGTTATAAAATAGTCTAGAAAGCCAGAAATAAAGGCATACGATGTAGATAGAACAAATTCTGTACAACATTTAAAATTAATGAATGTTCTTTTTATTTCCTCTAACCCACAGAACACCTTCCCAACTCCAAAGGGAAAGGACAAAGGAGCTGAAAGTGCAGGGATGCACAACTCTACAGGAGAGTTCTGCAATGATAATCTGGACATGAAGGACCCATTTCAATCCAAGCCCAAAAGAATGGAGAGAACACAGCAAAAACCCAGCACAGCCACAGCTATGAGTAGGCCTCTTCACAGCTAGTCCCATCATTTGAGGGATGGGGGGGTATGGAGGCTGGAAATAGGTGTAGGGTGAAATCAAAAGAACATCTGAAATTTCATCTTACTGTCTCCCAAGTAACTGTTCTAGTCCCATCACTCTGTAAAAAGTGAAAAACAGACTATAAAAAAAAATAGGATGTTTTCTCGTAAAACTTTTACATACTTTGGTTTATCTTGGGGTGGGGGAAAGGTAGAAAATATTGGTGAGAGCTGACCTAAAGATATTGCCAGCTGATTACAAAATAATTTATATTTTACCACTAATATATTTAACACAAATTAGAAGCAAGGGGTGAAGGCACTGTAGTGCTTGGTCAGGAGGACAGACGCCCCTAGGACCACCGTCTTACACACCACAGTACCTTCCCATGAGGGTTCCCAGCTAGCAAAACCCAAGCCTACACAGACTTGCTCCTGTGTATCTTTTTGACAACTATGAGAATCCCGATTCTAGTATATGCAAATTGAAAATCATTCTTATTGAGAATAATCTTTTAAAAAAGAGCCTAGTAAATGTAGAACAGAAAAGGTAGGTAAAGTAGAAGGCAGAGCAGGAAAGAAGCTTTCTAATAAAAACCTAGAAAAGATGAAGAAAGCTGATGGAGAGTCTCAGATCCAGGGTTAGACTGGAGGTCAGCAAAGACTGGGAAAGAGAGGAGCTGAGATTCATGCAAGAGGCTTGACTAGGAGATATATACAAGACGGGGGCTGACTAGGAGGTATATGCAAAAGGGATAATTAGGAGATATATGCAGGAGGGTCGACTAGGAGATGTATGCAAGAGGGCGGACTGAAATTGATGTCTGTATGCAGTTTTCATTCAAAGGGCCTCTACACATCCCTGTGCACTCACGGTGGAGTGTGAGAAATGCCTCCTAAAATAGGCTAAAGAAAGGTTATCCAAGCCGGGCTCGGGGGCTCAACCTGTAATCCCGTGCCTTTGGGAGGCTGAGGTGAGTGGATTGTCTGAGCTCGCGGGTTCGAGACCCACCTGGGCAGGCGAGACCTCATCTCTACAATAAATCAAAAAAATTAGCCAGGTGTGGTAGCGTGCGCCTGTAGTTCCAGCTACTTGGAAGGCTGAGGTGGAAGGATCACCGGAGCCCAGCAGGTCGAGGCTGCAGTGGCTGGGAGCGGCCACTGCACTCCAGTCTGGGCGACAGTAAGACTCCAACTCAAAAAAAAAAAAAGAAAGGTTATCCAAAGGGTTTCCATTTCAGGCATTCAAGTTACTAGTTTCTGAGACCTCAGTGGAATCTGGAAGGGAAAAATGGACAACATTAAAAAGCAAAAAGCCACTTAACATTTGAATGGAGGACCAGACATGGAAAATACCTCATATAATGGACAGCCAGTAAGTCAAAATGAAATTACTGAGATAGAAGCTAGAAAGATTTTAACTAGCATGAAGTGGTAAACAAAAATTAAATGCATCATATCTTTTATTATAAATTTAATGTTTAAATTAATACTCCTATCTCTTCCTGTATTTGTAAACAATTATATTTTTATAATTTGCGTATAATCCTGATACTTCTACATTCTCTAAAAAGTTTGTTTGTTTGTTTGTTTGTTTGTTTGTTTTGAGTCGAAGTCTCACTCTATCACCAGTCTGGAGTGCAGTGGCATGATCACGACAATCATGGGTCACGGCAGCCTCTACTTCCTGGGCTCAGGCGATCCTTCCACCTCAGCATCCCAAGTAGCTGGGACTACAGGCATGCACCACCACACCCAGCTATGTTTTGTAGAGACAAGGTTTCACTATGTTGCTCAGGCTGGTCTTGAACTAGGCTCAAGCAATCTACCTGACACGGCCTCCTAAAGTACTGGGATTACAGGAAGGAGCCATTGCACCCAACCTCTAAAAAGTTTTGATTCACCTACCATGGAGTTGTTTGGTTTTTTTTTAAGCTTCAAGATTAATAGATACAGTTATAATTTGATATCTCAGAAGACACTTATAAATATGCCCAGAATCAAGCTCTAAGTTACCTTAAGGTCAATACTATAATTTGAAGTTCTCCAAAAGCATGAGAAATTAAGCTAGAAGAGCCGTGTACCAGTGTTCTCTATTCCACCAACCATGTGATTTGGAAAAAAAATCAATGAACATTTCTGGGTTTACATTTTCTCATCTCTCAAGGGTTAGATCAGTGTGTCTCAGAGTGTGATCAGGGTATCCTCTGGGAGGTCCTTTTAAACATTTTCAGGGAGTACATGAGGCCTAAACTATTTTCATAATAATACTACGATATTATTTGTCTTTTTTCAGTCTCATTTTCTCATGAGCACAGTGGAGTTTTCCAGAGGCCATATGACATAGCCACAACTATCTGAAAGACTCCTCCCTCTTTCAACTCTATAGCTGCTTTGGGTCAGATTTTCTTCCTACATTTCAACCAAAACAACATTATCACATCAGACTAAATGGATAAGCAGATATGAAAATTAATGTGCCTTCTATGAGGCCAAATATTGAAGAGATTTGCAAAAATATAAAATAATGGCACTCTTCTCATTAAATTTTTGCTTTGGAATACATAGCTATTTTTCAGAAAAATACATTATTTATGTTAATATGCAATAGGCTTATTATTGCTATTTTTCAATAACAGTTTTTAAATTCCTTGTATGGAAATATAGACAGATATGACCCATGTAAACAAAAGCTCTTTTGGGTCCTCAGTAATTTTTTTTTTTTTTTGAGTTGGAGTCTCACTCTGTCACCCAGACAGAGTGCAATGGCCACTCCCGGCCACCGCAGCCTCGACCTGCTGGGCTCTGGCGATCCTTCCACCTCAGTCTTCCAAGTAGAGTAATTTTTTTAATGTAAAGAGGTACTGAGACCAAAAATTGTAAGAACTATTAGGAGAGATTTCCCAACTCTCAAATTCCCTGATTTGACAAATAATTGTATGAAAGGTGAGTTGGTTCTTCCCCCCCATCTTTTTGTTTTGTTTTTGTTCTTGAGTTGAACACATTCACTGCATTTTTCCTTATTTTTTATAGCAGATAATATTGATAACAAAAGCTAATAAAAGTGCAAATAATGCACATTCCTACCATGACTCTCATTGTTCTATTTCCCTTTAGATGTACATATATATATTTCTGCATAGTTATAAACATAAAGTAGATGATAATATATCATCTGTGTTTTCACCTAATGTTTTATTAAATATTTTGTTTTATAGGAGGTCTTCATTTCTAATTATTTTAACAGCTGATTTACTCAGCAAAAACACCATTTATTTATGCCTTTCTCTATAAAAATTGAGACTATTTCTATGGTTGTATGCAGTCTCATATTTTTTCTTAAGAACAAGCATTTTTGGGTTTTGCTCCCTGTTATTCTAATCCTCCAGACTGACAATTATAGCCCTATATGCCATTGTCACCTCCCTTGTTCTTCCTTGGCCACCTCCTCCTTCCCTAAGGAGTCATCTCTTAAAAATGAGAAATCCAGCCTGCCTCAGTGGCTCAGCCTATAACCCCAGCACTTTGGAAGGCCGAGGTGAGTGAATTGCCTGAGCCTGCAGGTTTGAGACCCGCCTGGGCAACTTAGCGAGAACTCATCTCTACAATAAATCAAAAATTAGCTGGGTGTGGTAGCGCGCGCCTATAGTTCCAGCTACTTGGAAGGCTGAGGCAGAAGGATCAATGGAGCCCAGCAGGTCGAGGCTGCAGTGGCCGGGAGCAGCCATTGCACTCCAGTCTGGGTGACAGAGTGAGACTCCAACTCAAAACAAAACAAAAAAGAGAAATCCAGTATCACTAAAATGCCATGCAAAACTAAGTAAGATAATTTAGCAATAGATTATCAATGCTGCAATCTCCAACCTCATCATTTCCAGTAAAAACTCCTATTTCCT